CTAATATCGCTTTATTTGCCATATCTTAATGACCTTTGTTAAAATAACATTTTAATTTCGATAATTACCGATTCAACTCAAGTAGGAAAGCCTAGGCATCGCTGGAGTATCGATAAACCCAGATTGCTTCTCAACTAAAACAAACTATAAACGAAAGTTACTAAGAAATGGCAAATAGAGTGATATTAGGAAAAACTATAAAATAACTATTTTTGGAAAGTACTCATCATTTTTTCAAGTGAAACCATTTCGATTTGAAGTACGGCGAACGGTATTTAACCAAGATAAAACAGGCCACTTTGTAGAGAATTTCACGATGCATCTTTCTATGATAAAATCATGGCTTGTGGATCAAAGAAAAACAGAGTTAGAGATAAAATACTGAGGGGATCATTTATTCTGCCGCACCCGTTATTATAATTTAGATGTACGCAATTTTTAATTATTTGAAAAGTAATAAATTTTAATAAAAGCAGCTTTTTTTCCTAATCTAATATTGGATGATTTGTTATTCTAAAACGTCATTTTCATTTTTGATGTTGTCATTGCATATTTTTATATTTGTTAATTTTAAATAAATTGAAAGAATTCAATATCTACTGTAGCATAAAAAATATATATTGAATATTTTGATAATCATTTCTGTCGGTAATCTTATTCTATCAAAAGTTAAATTCATTCCTTCAATGAGCTTTGTTTAGAAGAAAATATTTTTTAAATAATTACAATAGTAACAAATTGTTTTCTAGTATTTTTATGTGATATGGTACAATTATTGACATTAGTTTTTTTTTTTGATGATAATTCTTCTGGAGCTAGACAAAGAAATGGTTTTATGAAAGTGCATCTGTTTTTGTTTTGGATATATAGAAAACAAAAACTATGATCCAGTTGTCTTTTAGAGTACTATTATATATATATGTATTACGTGATTGAAACAGGGTCATGAGATCAGCTAGCGTTGTCAAACATGGAACGAAGACTTTGATAAGGACTGTTAATGTCAAAGAAAAAAAGTTATTCGTCTTAATAATCAGAGTTGAACATGGTTCAAGGTTTTCAAGAATTCACACTGAACCAAAAAAGAAATTTTTTGAAATTCCATTATCAATAACAAAAAATTGACGCAGTTTTCATCATAATTTGTTCGTTCTATTTCAAACAATTGTTATCTTAATTCGTATCGATATGATAGATGACTCCAAATCAAATGGCTTCTCTATATTCAAAGGATGTGAATGTGAAGTGCTTTGAATAGAATTGAAGAGTCTTTCTTAGTGTTTTTATTTAATTAAAAACGATAACTTCCATGAATATATATATATATATATGGGCGTGGCCAGTTGACATGATACTCCAATTTGCTTTCTTTCTATTATCAGTTAATAACCTAATCATATTTGGGTCAAATTATCACTCTCATCCCTAAACTACTAAATTTAAAATATTAGTTGCTGATCGCTGTCTTATATGGAACTATTCAATCCCTTAAAAAACGATAAGACACAATTTCAGGAACTGAATAGTTTCATATAAGACAGCGATCAGCAGCTAATATTTTAAATTTAGTAGTTTAGCGATGAGGATGATAGTTTGACCCAAATATGATTAGGTTATTAACTGATAATAGAAAGAAAGCAAATTGGGGTATCATGTCAACTGGCTACGCTCATATGAAAAATCTCTCGTAGACTAAAGCAGTTTTGTATAATAATTGGTATTCAGGTTAATGATCTCTCTGCTATTTCTGTGTTTCGAAGAGAATGCTTAATTTTTACTACAAATGCTCTATTTTTCGTTTGCAGTGTTGCTATTCACTCATAATTTGTCATTTCTTCAAATTCGTTTTTTTCTTAATTTAGCACTCTTATTATTATAATCATCGGATTAACTGATAAAGAAATCTGTTTTACATATTCATGATATCAACAGCAGATGTGGTGTACCATCATATATATATATAAATCAACTCACCGATAATGATATTAATTATTTTTCAAAATTAACATTTTATCAATTTTGAAAAAAAAACATGTCGACAACTGAACATCTGCTATTTTTCATTACGAAGTATCTGTTGTGAGAAGGACAAGTAGGAGTCGAAGAACTTCGAATTAAAACTGACATTCACTATTTTCTTAAAAAAATACACGCAAGTTCTACAAAGAAGTTTACAATAATTAAGACAATGAAAAACATGATTAGATATCATATACATTTGTAATTGATAGAAAATAAAAAAAATATGCAAATATAATAATTTATTTTTAAAATATGAATAGAAAAAAATAGCTCCACTAAATACTAAGAAATTCTACATTGAATACAAATTTAGACATCAGTTGTCCGTTGACACACGCGTGAAAGACGACACCTACATATATATCAAAGAAATTAATCAATGTTTGAACGTTTTTTTTTTGAGTTCATTCATCAAAATCTAATTGGTTAATGTATGCAGTAATGATTAGAAGATGATATGAAATGTTAATATCTGAATTAGTTAATAAGTTAAGATTAATAATAAATAGTTAGTAAGAAATGTAGTTATATATGGGTACCGGAAACTAGTTCATTGTGTAGCAATCATCCATAAAGAACATGAAGATGAACGAACGATTATGAATTGGGAAGTTCCGTTAAAAGTGGACAGAGGGAAGAGCGTCATCTTATTATTTTTTCTATTATCGACTCATTAAAATATAGCATATTTAGTATGTATAGTGTTTTGATTAATTAACTGTTATTTTATCACGAAGAAGCAGTAAATTAGAACAAACACACTTTTCTGAAAGTTTTGTTTTCTATAGTGGAAGTTAGAATCCATCAGATTGGTTTCGAATCCGAAAGCTAGGATTCTAATTGTTTGCAAAATATGTAGGTGACACTAATTACAAAAAGGCAAAAAAAAAGACAACAAGCATCTCAAATCTTCGACGCGACTATAGAATTCTGACTAGAAAATTTCCCAAAGAATACTAAAGAAAACGGTTTCATTGTGTTCGATGAAGCTAAGCAAATCTGAACAAGAAAGAAGGACACTAAAAAAATGCGATTGCTACTTCGACGTTCTTTAGGAAAGATTTCTCAAGTAATAATTACTCTTTAATAAGACTGTAAATCACATTCAATAATCTAAAACTTTGATTATATGGACTAGAGTTAAAATATGCTATAGTCATACAGATATTTATAGGATTTAGAAGTGTTACTGAGATAAAGAAAAAATTAACCTTTCATCATTGTTGTTTCTCAATAATTAGAATTTCAATGAATATGATCATCATCAAACAATGATTCTTGTTGATACGTTTGTCGTGATTTATTAATATTTTGGTTCATTTCGCCAACTATTTTAATGTTTTTTTTTTTTTATAAAAAGAAATTATTAGTAAAAGAATAATTATATAATGATAAACATAAATGATCATTCAGGATCTAAAAGATGTCGTTCAGGTAGTTTGATACGTTTATCATTGTTAGTTTTTGAATCATCCATCAAGTGTTCAAGATAATCGCACATAATAGCTTGCTAAATGAAAATTTTTTATATGAAATAAGTGCAAAAAGAAATTCAATTATAACAAATTCATTATTACTTGATTACTAATTAGTCGCATATGGTTTTCAAGTCTTCGTATTCTATTTAAGATATTTTCCTGTAATGATTGACTAAAAATACGCGAACAACATATTGTTTTATGTTTTTTCCGTTTGATATAAAGCATTTAACTTGAATATAATTAGCGAGAGGAATAACTAATGAAACTCTTTCTTTATAAATCGTTCCATACCAAATTTTCATTGATCGACTACAGACGAAACATTTTCGAGAAACTAAACACGGTAATTTTCATGTTTTAGAAGACTATTATATTGAAGAGCATAAAGTTTTGAATAAAAAGAAAGATTATCGCATCTTCGACAACTTCCTCTTAAAAATTTATAAACATTACAAATCGAGATTGATTATCTACAACGAAACAATGCATTGTGCTGGTTTTGTAATGCTTGTCACTTTTTAAGAGAGAGTGGCGGGAAGTGGAACAATATCTCGTTTGCTTCGAGACTTTCTTCTTTTAAAGATGGTATTCTTTAGCATTAATCTTCATAGAGTCTTCGGAGACCTGAAAATGTTGTGTATGATTTTTCATAACTCTTCCTCTAATAATTCTATTTATAAGATTCCGGTATACAATACATTTGATAGGATATTTCACTAACTACTCCAACCGCTATTTAGATTTAAATGGTTCATATCGCAGAAAAAAAGTTGAAAGGAAGTTAATCTGATATTTTTCAGGGGCGTTCTATGAAAGATCTCGATCTAGTGTTTATTTTATATAAGTTTACCACTTACACTCGTTCTTCATCTAGATCAGGTTCATCAAGTAGTTTTCTTTTCTTTCCTGTTTTAAATAATTATAATAAACTTCATCACCATATGCATCTTTAGTTGTTTCAATTTTTGTTAGACTTTTGTCATCAGTGACAATTCTACCAAAAAAATCAACTATTTTATTTAGATAAATAAAATAAAACAAAAAAAAAATGTTTTACTATATTTTGTTCAATTCACATGTTGTCGATGTTTATTTTTTGCATGAATTCTGATTTACAAAATTTAGCTAATGTATATAAAGTTAATCATACACAATAAGACAAAAAAATGAAAGGTGATGGAAACGATGGACGTGATAAATATTCACACACTAATGAATATCGTTGAAATTTCCAAATATGATCTGCATTGCTTTGAAGACGATCGAAAGTATTACTAAATTAAAACAAAACAAGGCTTTAGTTAGATGCAAAAAAATTGTTTCGATACATATTAACTATCTATAGTCCTTTTTTTTCATAACGATTTAAAGTAGATGTTATAAATACTACCTGAACATAGTAATAAGCAGATTGACTAAGAGTATACTAACAATAGTCATATAACCATTTGCTTTAAAATTTTCTGTATAAAGACAAACATTTTATTATTTAATTAGAAATTCTTTATTCTTTTCTTCTTTGTATTTTCATACCTTCGAATGTTTCTAAAGCTTCTATTTCACCAAATATATGTGTCAATAAGCAAGATTTATAATTTTACGTGATAAATGCCAAGTAAATTCTTGAACGCCAAATACTAAACTATAAAATGATACACCAAACGCCAGTATAAATACGAAAGACATTAATATGAAAAATTTCAAATAATGTACCTAACAAAAAAATATATATATTTAGTGGAGTGCAAAAAAAATTGCCGTTGCATATATGCATTTTCTCGAACCATATCTGTGAAGTGTATGAATGGATTCTTCTGAAACTTCCATCGGCAGCCAAGGAGATGCTATAGATTGTGGTGAGAGCGAGACACCTCCAAAATTATGGTTTCATAGGCTGAGAGACATCGTGATTCGATTATCCACCGCTTTTCTGCCACATCGAGCGGTCATCTTACAGTCACGAGACTACAGCAATCACTGAGCTACGAAAATCGTCTTCTTAGGGATGGTCTCTGTCCATAGCATCTAACAAAATGCAAATGAGCTTCAACCACAAGGCATCTTAGAAACAAATGGAATATCATGGTCTGTCGAACTTCCGGCACAAATGGCACTCCCATCCAATTTTTACATTATCTCGATAATGGCTTGTCCAATCGACTTGAAATTTTCAGAGTAGACAGACCACAGCTAGTAGATGAAATTTTGTTCCAAGTGAGTAATTCTCAAGATTCATCTTCAAGGTCAAATAGAAGTCACAAGTTGATAAGGTGGTATTGAGTTTATTTCCTGTCTTAGAAATTCTATCGAGCTCAAACTTCGGCTACAAAATCTTGATCCAAAACGAGATTCATGGCTTCTTTCACTTTTCTTCAAAACACACATTTTAGGCTAGGATACAATTCAGGTACATAGGCAAAACGATCCTAAGTTATTTGAGCGCATCAATGAAAGCATAGTGTTTACTTCTTTTTCGTTTGAGGAGAAAGCGAGCTAGTTATGGATTATTATATTTGGATACTCTATTGTATGTGCGGCTTATATATAAAAACACCTTACGATATTCATCGTGTTTAGTGGGATCATTTTATCAAATACTAACGGCAATTTTTTTTGCACCCCACTGTATATAAGAAAACAACATTTAATAGAAAATAAACTAATACAATTGGTAAAATCTCTGTGAGAATAAAATGTAAAACATGATAGAGCTACTATTGTTGTCAACGCGAAATGGAGATTGATTTTTTCTGACTATCTGAGAAGGAATTTCTTCATCTTTCTTCTACTAAATTCTCTAGAAATATGATAACAAAATAGTTGGTATATTGTAAATAGTTGTTGTTGATAGGCGACTTATCACAATATCTGATTAAACCATGTTACAATCTATGATTAATCTTTGAAAAGTAACTATTAAGGAATTGTGCTAATATCTAACTAGTGTCTCACAAAATCAAGAAGATTACTTAACATTTCATCAATTATAACAAGTTTAGACCCAAGTAGTTTTACAGTAGTAAACATATTCAATGTACATATAAACCAAATAGATAAATCAAATGATAAAACAATCCATGTTGCACAAAAGCATTTCTGATATTGAAATATATCGAAGTACAATACCCACGAAAAATAGAATTATAGCCACAACATCTAATTTATTCCAATATGATTTAAAATAAATTGCAACAGCGTTTCGTGCTGATGGTGCTCGTATTACAAATAACTAAAGAATGTGAATACAGTAAATAGAAACCATAAGATAATAGATTACAAATATATTCAAACAAATTACCTGTCGAAGTTCTTCACAAACTAATGTAATAACCCACATGACAAGTATAATTTCAGTAGAAGACGGATTTTTATGCGATTGTAGTCCATATACAACTGATTTACTAACATTATAGAAAGTTATAGTCGATGTGTAACTTGTAACTGATAGATTACTATCTTTGTCATCGCAACAATCTTTTTTTGCTAAATTACCAGATGGTATACATAAAATTCATTGGAAGATCATAGAGTGGAAAAAAATCACATAAAATCACATAGGAGAATAGTAATAAAAAGATCAAATGAGAGTACTAAAATATAAAATGAATAAGTGTATTAAATAAAATTATATGAAAAAAGAATTAATTCTGAAAATGAAATATACTTTTAGAAAAAATAAAATAAAAAAACGACTATTATCTAATTGAATACTTACTAAATGATAAAGATATTAAACATATGCAGTACGTATAAATGTAATAATGTGGTGAAGATATTCAGAAACTTTTCTTAATTTCCTAGACGAATAAAATAAAATGAATTATTATTTCCTTTGTCCAATTTAAACAAATATATAAATAAATTATATGTAAAATAATCTTAATTAACAAAAAAGCAATCGTTGTTAATTTAAGTCACTATTAGTATTATTGCTAATAACCCTTTCGAGGCGATTCGGTTTTCATAGAAAATAACTTTAACACATTCATCTTCATGTCCATTCACTCTCGATAAATGCACTCGTTGGACTTTTCAGTATATACACCCATTCATTTCTCTTTTTCTTGTTTGTACCATTACACAGCGATCTTGTTCCACGTAGAACTGAATAGTTACTTAAGTTTGCTTTTCTCTTTCTCTCATATGTATTTACACTAGGAACGATATAGAGAAATAAAATATCAATCTGTTTTTGTTTTCTTTTCGAAGCATCATCTTTGATTCTTTCTGTTGTGATCTACATTTCCTATAGGTGCAATTAGAAGACATATTCTTCTTATTTTCATCATTGAGCATTCTCCAATGGAGGAAAACAAGGTATAGATTTATCTGATTAGCTATCAGCATACTATACATGCCTCAGGTGATCCATGAAATGATATTTGGAACGGCAATAGTTAACGCCTACTTGATTTACAAGGAAAATTATGACACAAACCATATGACCATACTACAGTTTTGTGAATCTTGTACGATCGTTACATCTTAGTACGTCATTTGAGATGCTGAAACTTGGTATGAAACAACAATCAACAAGTAATTCGAAGTGTAAATTAGTTGATCATAAGCTTGTAGAAAAAGAAGAATCTGTGCGCAATGTTCGCAGACACTGTAGACTGCTGGGAGAAAGGAAAGGAACCACAATCAAGAGAAAAGAGCTATGCGGCAGCAAAGAAAATAAAAATCTTTTGTTCTGACTGTAATTAATTCTTTTATTTTGATTGTTTTAATAAAAAATATCATGCTATGGTATAAAAGAATCAAAAAACATATCCAGGACAGAGCAGAATTCATATTGTGTTTAACCTCTTGTCTAAGAAAAAAGCAAAAGAAAGTGCTTTTCTATACAGTTTCTCGTTAAACTATAGCGTCGCCCACTGATGGGCGACATCGCCTCGAAAGGGTTAAGATAGAATCTTTAAGATGATATTATTTTACTTGAAACTCATTTTTTGAAAAAAAAGAAAAGATTATTATCTTGTAAACAACTCGATATGCTCTATAGTATGAGTAGATCAAAAACGATTTAAACGAAATATTTCTAAGCCTAGAATATCTACGAGGATTTATTGTAGTTGTTGCTGTATGCGACCATATTACCGACGCTGTATGTATTTATGGCTCCATTAACGTATCGTATTTTTCTATCAGCGAAAGTTTAAATCCAGATGTCAGACATAGTCAGTCATATTGAAATATTAAACTCGTACAGGATTGATCTCTTTAACCAATGAATGTTTATTTGCTTATATTGTACTTACTTAATACCAATATTTCATTACTTTTGAAATTATTTCTAGAAATGATTGACTATCAAACATATCCGCGTGTAACTGGTTCTCTTCGTGCACATTCTAATATTGCCGAACGATTACATTATCGAGGTGATATTGATGAATTACAACGACGTCGACAACAATCATTAAAAATTGAATCAACAATAACATTAACTTGGAATGAACTTCAACAATTATTTTTAAAACATAGTTTAAATTCAACAATTGAATCACAAATTAAACAATTACGAAAATATGCTATTGAATTTGGTTAGTTGAATATATTCTTTTTTATAAAAACTAACCTTTAATTTTTTCTTTATAATTTAAATTCAGCTGGTTCAGAATCAGATTCATCATCAATTGATTCTGTTTGTATTTATCTCTTTGAACTATTTCGTAATATAAATCAAATTCAAGTTTCACATTTAAAAGAATTAAAATTAAGATTTCCAACTTATACTCAACAATTAGTTACACAAACATTTGATTTAATACGTTCATTAATAAATTCTCTTAAACCAACTTTTATTGAAGAATATTTATCACGTACTATATCAAAATCATCATCATCATCATCAAAACCATTATTTGGTGAAACAACTGTCTTTCATCCTATTTCATTATCAATCAATGAACCAATACCATGGTTAGAGCGTTTATCTTATGATATAGCATATCAAGAACAAGAAAATATTAATAATGAAGAAATAACTAATGATATTTTACCTGGTATTGCACCTTCAACATCATCATCATCATCATTATCATCATCTATTTATACTAAAAAATGGCTTGAAGATCGTTTACGTACTGTTTTAAAATCTCGTGATGATAGAGGTGATTTAGGTCAACAAGAATTTTGTAATTTAGTTTTTGAAAATCTTGTTTCAAATCAAACAGATGATGAAATTCAACATTCATTATGTGATATAATTGGTTATGATCATTTAGAATTAATTAGTGAATTAATACAAAATCGTCAAATAATAATTGAAGGAATATTAAATAGTGCTAAAGCTCGTCCACGTGAAATTATTCGAGCACCAGAACTTATTCAACGTCAAACACAACCAATACATGGTCCAACTATTATTGTACAAAGTGAACAAGAAAAACGTTTAGAAAAACAATTAAGAAAACAAGATCGAAAACAACAACAACAACAACAACAATCAAATGATTTTGAAGATGAATTTTCTAATCCAGAATTATTAAGATATGAACGTGAACGACAATTACTTTTAGCAACAGAAAAACGTTATGAAAAATTATCAAATATATCTCAAACAAATTTTTCACAAACAAATATTAAATATCCATTTGTATTTGATCAATTACAAGAAATAAAACAAAAAACAGCATATATTGGTGGAAGAAATCTTCTTTTACCAGAAAATATTGAACGAAAATCAGCAACAACATATGATCTTGTTCATATTCCACATGGTGAACAAATTAAATTAGCTAATTTAGGAAAAAATATTTGTCCAGAACTTATTCGTTATGAAGATTTAGAACCATTAGGACAAATTTTATTTAAAGATAGTGTTAAAACACTTAATTTAGTTCAATCAATTGTATACAAAACAGCAGCTTTTTCAAATGAAAATATTCTTATCTCTGCTCCGTAGGTATCAAATTTACATTAGAGAAATCTTCAAATTGATAAATCGCTTTTGAGTCTAGACTATGTGCATTATAAGTTATGAATACTCTGAAAAGAATTCGTACCATTAGTTTATTGTTGTGGAGATTCTACACTTTTAAGAAATGAATCTCGTAATAACAGTTTTCGAATTAACGGAGAGTAGCTTTCTGTGAAAGTGATTTCAGATTACTTTTGTAAAGAACTTTTTTTTTTCTTGTTGAATAACTAAAATATGTTTAGTGATTAAAGGAAAAGACAAAAGAACTATAGCAAAAATATCGAAAAATTTGTCTTAGAGATTAAAGATATATATCCGCAAAATCAGACAGAATAGGACACTTGCACCTTTCATTTGAGACTGATTCTCTATAAGAGTGAACTTTTTGAATAAATTCTTTTGGTATAGGCTTATGTGAAAATGTTTGGTCTTTCACATGGTTATTAAATAAAATTAATTAGCGAATATCTCGCTAACCATATGAGAAAAAAATCTGAAAACTTCAGGATAGGGTCTAGGGCACAAGCTGCACCTATGGTAAGATTTTCAGCAAGATTGGACTCCGGAAAGTTTCTTCCGAAAAACCGGTTTTTCAGAGACCCTGAAAAGTGAAGAAGCGAAAACTTTTCTCTTATCATCATCTAGGGATTCTGAGTAATGATTTGTAACGTTTGAAGTCGATTTTGAACTTTTCAGTTGGTTACAAGAGTATCATCTCGATTATGTAGTCGTACTGTGTCACGTCGCTAACGACAAATAAATCGGTTTTTTTGAAAAATCTAGACATACTCAGAAAAATTTTGGATATAGACTTTATAGCCTTAGAAGTGGTCTACGAAATGCCCTATTTAGTTTTCTAAAATTTTGCATGAATGGGGAGTTATTAAAAACTAAAATACAATAAGTGGAAATCGATGTCCTTTTTTGTGTCACGTCGCTAACGGTAGTTTTTTACCAGTAACTCCTGTAAACAAAGGTCCATAGCGCTAATTTTTTTAGGGTATCTAGAGTAACTTAATGTCCATACAACATATAAAAAATCAGATTTAAGAGAGCTCATTATCTCGAGATACACATATTTTAATTTTCCGAAGTCACGTCGTTAACAAATGATTTTGCCCATATATAAATTTTAATCTCATTTGTCTTTTAAAAAAGAACTGGTGCTGGTAAAACAAATATTGCTATGTTAACAGTTCTTTATGAATTACGTCGTCATTATGATACAAAAAATGGTGTTTTATTAAATAATGATTTTAAAATAATTTATGTTGCACCTATGAAAGCACTTGCATCAGAAATGGTTGATAATTTTGCTCGTCGTCTTTCATCTCTTGGTCTTCAAGTTAAAGAATTAACTGGTGATATGCAATTAACTAAAACTGAAATTGAACGTACACATATGATTATAA